TTATGTTTGACCTATGAGTCAAATTGCTCAGAGGTAGATCAGCTTCTGCATTTGTAGAACACCTCCATAGTTTGTGCATATTTTGTTATTGCCCCAAGCATTAAGAGTATTACAAACTCTTAAATATTGCTATAATTACTAAACATTGAATATGAGGTCTGATGCTTTTTAAGATTTAGAGATCCAGTTGAAATTCCTAAAGAATTCCTATAGGAAAACCTACTGCCTGTCATAGATCATAGTGACATGAGTTATCCAAGTATATCTACAGTTTCTAATGTCTGATCAATATATTTTATATAAAGAATTTCCTGTCACAAATGCACCAACTGAAATGATCTTTCAAATGTGTTAAAAGTACCTGAGTAAAAAAAAAAAAAAAGAGATAATTAGAAAGTATTTCTTGTCTCCTTGCAAAAGAAACAGCCAATGTTCAGAGACAAGTTTTCAATTCATAGTCTTTAACTTCACTTTCAAATTTTCATGCAGACTGAACCACTTTCTGAAGCACTTTTTGTGTCTTATTCCATATTATTGTACCACAGTTTAAAGAAATAAATGAACTAAAACCACAAGCAAAGCAATAAGAATCCAAGCAAAAACCAGTTTTTAAAACATTAATTCAATTACATCTCAAATCAATTCAATGCCCACTGACCACATCAAACTTTGAATCAGACTTTCTGTATACAGATGGGTGCCTGCAGTCAGGCTGTGTGCAATGTTGCATACACAGAAGTTTAGGACTCTTTGAAACTTTGGCTTTTCAGCACAGACGCAGGCTCTAGCTGCTGTCACCAATTTGGAATTGACAGTAGACTATTTATTACTATTTCATTCACATGTAAGTTTACATATTGTTCTAGGAAAAGCATTTTCATTTTAAAAGTCACCCTGAGTGACTCGGTTCAATGTTATAAAATAATAACCAAATAATAAACTGTTGTTTATCTATTGAATGTTAATTTTATTATATAGTGATGTATAGCACCTTAAATAACAGTACTATTATATAATGATGGCTGTACATTTTGGTCTAATTTATAGCCAAAGTGTTCTAAAAGAAAAAAAAAAAAAGCAAGCATATGTTTAATGTTATAACATCCTGTGGTCTTAAAAGAAAGTTTAGTGTATTTGTAGGTGCTTTGACACCCAGGGGTAAGAAAAAAATGTTCTGGTATACTTGAAACTAAATTCTGTGGGATCCAGACAGCAGGAGCTAAACTAAGAAATGTTAATCAGATGTAACAGAAATACAACTGGAATTGACCAGATTTCACAAAATACCGTTATATCTGAAAAATTATCTGGAAGAGAACTATTCCCGAACATGAGTCTAATAGAATATATGACATACCCACATACCCAACGTTTCAGCACTATGAAGTTGAAGGATAGATCCTCTAGTTCTGTATGGTCCAGAACTCCTGAGAAGTTTCTTGTACAATGCCCTGCTCTTTCAAAAGAGACATTACACTTTTTTAATACTTTTCTCGCCTACCCAAGTTACTAAGGAAAGCTTGGGTGCCATCTAGTCAAAGCTAAAAGATGCATATTTTTGCTTACACACAAATCTTAATGATTTACTATACCTGCACCTCATTTGATTTCTGCATTATTGTAAAATGGGGTTAAACTTCAACTTCAGCAGTGGTATGGGACCTACTGCAAAAGCATGAAAAGTATCAGAATTGGAAGTTTTAATAGTTCTGTACTGATCACGTTTGCATCGCACATAAACAGACATAACCGAAAATAAAACCTAGCTGTGAAACACAATTTTCAAGTGAGTTGCTTTCATAGAGAAGCAGATGATCTTATGATAAATCCCTTTAACATTCTCATTAAGAAGACAAGGTCACTGCTTTGAGGGGTTTTTTTGTAAGAACAAAAGTGAAAGTTAGTTTACCAATAGTCATAATCTTATCATCCCATCTTTAAGCCATGTAAAAGACTATAAAGCACTAAATTTGTATTTTCTGTGTCACTTTTTATCTTGTGATGACCTCTCCTGGTTGAGCTGTTCATTAGCCTTGATTCCAGAAGTTAAGAGTGTTTTGATCCCTCTATGCTTATTTCAAAAAAATTACAGGAATATGAAGAATTTGTTGCCAAGGTATGAAAAATGTGACTATGAATAAAATTTACAGTACAATCTGAGTATCAGTGTGTGTGATACTGTATCATGGTGTATGTTTATTATACTACAAAATGGGCTTTCAATACCCGCTTCATCTTGAGATAAAACTAAATGAGATTCAAAGCTTTCAACACGGTCACTTCTGAATCAGTATTACTGAGAGACATCATTTTAATGACAGAGATCGATTTACTGACTTTGAAAAGTAAACAAACAGTTGAAATGCAATATATTCACATAAGTGATGTTCAATTCTATTCTTTCCAAAAACTATCTTTTTCTATGTCAGCACAAGCAGACTGTAAGCAAATATTTAATAGCAAACTTATATATAGGGATTAGTACACCATGAATCTTGCATACTTCCTGAAAAATACTGTAAAGAATAAATTCTCTGTTGTTAATTACTTCAAAGTCAAAACATAAAGTAGTAATGGAGGAGAAAAAAAAAAAGTGGTTTGAAACCAGTTTTACATCAAAGTTGCATTTCACACAACTTTTAATTCTTTCAGAAGTATTACCAATATGATGTTCAAAATCAACTGATGAGGAAAAAAAAAGAGAGAAAAAAACCTAAGTGCACTCTCTCATTAAAGGAGAACAAAATTCCCAAATGCCATTCACAATCAGTGGCATACAAAGTGACAAACAATCCCAGAAATCACAGGATAGCGACCAGTTTGTATACCAAAGCGTGCAACAGAATAACCAGTTAAGTGGTGCACCAAAACACTGTGACACAGCACTTGAGTTCCTGCTGTGGCTCCACTTCCCAAGCACCCGTACATCTTTACAAGAATTTTAAGCATGTACTGCAATGTGAACACTCCGTTTGTAATTTTAAGGCTGACGTGTACTTCTAGCTATATTTCTGTTTCCAGTAAACAAATCTAGCTCCATTTCACTTTCAGGAGTGAGTCAGAAATGAAATGCTATACGCTACATAAGGGGTGCAGTGTATAAGCTCTTAAAAGGTGGATTAATATAAAGAAATCTTTGCATATCTGAAAAAAAATTGTCAAGATGGGAATGTATATGAGTAAATTGTAATTAAGGTTATATATATCCTTTATTCATGGGTTTTCTGGTTATAGTGATGTTACTACAACCATTAACTTCTCAACTAACTTCTTTCAAAAGTTAAAGAATTTGTTGTGTAATCAGATAACTCACTGTAGGTCATTTTCAAGTTAAACTACAGCCATTAGTTACTGAACAACAACAACAAAAAAAAAAAAAAAGAAAAGCTCATAAATCCTATTCTAGAAAAGCAGTATAGGGAACTTTTTTCCCAGTAACAGATTTCTGAAAACCTAAATCATAAATCTTTTTTTCCCCTTTTATATTCCTATCTAGGGGTCCCTTCCAACCCAAAACATTCTATGATTCTATGATTATGCAGAGCCTGAGAGATGACCATGAAGAAATAATATTCAGAAGAAAAATTAGATAGCTGATCAAAACTAAGCAGTAAACCTCAGGATCAATATTTCTCCTAAATCAAAGGTAGAAAAATAACTGAAGATCCTATAGCTTCTGAGACCTAGATACAGTGCAGACATTTCTGTCGGTTGACACACAAATAAATGTCTAAGTGTCAGCAAATCTTGGAACAATAACATTATTTTATTTTTCAATAGGTATCAGATGGTAACAGATAGAAACCCACTGAGAAAGTATAGCAGTGCTCCAGTTCCCTAGTCATTGCATTGTTCATTCCTGCCCCCAAGGAAACAAATAAGTATAATGATCCACATAGATCTCTATGCAGTATATACATTACATTCTAAGATGATTCCTTGCTTGGTCAGTAGAATCAGCCCCCATTGACATACTCACAATCCCAACACATCCATCTGTAACAATTCAGGACATTTCTTTCTGCTACAAACAGCAGAGGAAGTCAACAGTAGTTTCTATTTTTGATGATTCTATAAAAATGCACTCCTTCATTTCAGTGTGCATTTCAAAAATACTTTGTAAATGGCAAATGCTTTACATGGTCAGAAGAGAAACAACTAAATACTTAACACTGACATCTACCTGCAAATGTTTTGCTGGAAACTACAGCTCAGTGCAATGTTAAAGATTTGATCTAACACCCATTGAAATCAATGAGTATGCTGTTATTTTTACACTGATAGCAGAATTTGGTCCTGTATAGGTGCTCTGCACTCCTCTGGTCTGAGGTTCAGCATTTCAGCACATGCTTGATCATTTCTCTCCTATTTCTGCCTCCCTAGGGGGGCAATTGCTGGTCTCCTCTAAAATACCTTTGCTCATTTTATTATGGGAAGCAAAACTTCACTCTCAAGAAAAGCTGTCCTGGCTCAGTTCCCTCTCATCAACTCAGCATCATTCTTTCCTCTTCAAAAGAGACAAAATCTTCTCTTGCTACTCCTTGATAAAACACTAGTTATGGGAACTGCTCACATCTCCTCTTTTCCTTCACACAACTGTGGAAATGAAGTACTTCCAAATGCAAATTGCATACCTTCTGAGGAAGGTGGGAAAAAACCAAACCAAACCAAACCAACCAAACAAACAAAAACCACCCCCAAACTTTGAACAGCTTCTATCTGATTCCTTTTCCCCTCTGACTCCATTGCAGAACCAAGAACAGGTCTTTCAACTTTCCATACCAGCTACCACTGAAATCATCTACGTAAGGAAGATCTGATGGGGAGCACTGCAAACAGCATGAAACCTCAGTGCACACATACACATACAAATACACAGAAAATCAAACACAAGATTCACCAGCAGATAAAAAACAATCAGCCTCCCAGAGTTGCGGGAATTCCCCTCTGGTTTATTGCAGAGCTGAAATTGTGCATGCTTCTTAGAAAAGGGTACTTACGAGATGCAGGCAGAGCAGTCCTGGCTCTGCAGTTAATGCTGCTGAAAATCCAGAGGAAGAGAGCTGCCCTGCAGCCAGCTCGGGTAACCACAACCATCCTTCACTTCCTGGCTCCCTTGTACTCCAAATGCCAGCCGCCGAGGACCTGCTTTTCTCCACTTCGGCCCCTTCTCTCTCTCTCTCTCCTTCTCCTTTTGGAGGAGGTGGCAAGGAGGTAAAGGGGGCAGGGCTTTACCTTGGGGTAGAAGCCAACCCCCCTCTTCGTCTGCTGTCTCTTGGTTTGCAGCAGCAGGATAAGTCCCGGTACTTTTCTTTCCCCTATTTCTCTGTGTTTGTGTGTGTGTGAGCCTGTCTGTGCCTTCTTCTCAGAGGAAGGGGAAAAAAAAAAAAAAAAGCCACGAAGTATCAAATAACAAGGGCTGTAGAAGAGGAGAAGAAAAATTTAAAAAGCAATCCCCAAAAAGACGTGGGGGGAGGGAGGGAAGAGGAGATGGAGATGAAAGGAAGGGAGAAAGGCGGAAAAAGCTGTTGGTGCTGCTAATGCTGCTGTTGATGCTACCACTGCAGCTGAGCCCTTCTTCCTGCACAGAGCAGCGCTGCTGAGAGAAGCTTGCAATAACCTCCCAGCTCAGATATATATACACAGTGTACACGCACACACAGCCGGGGAGCCAAACACACTCACGCAGGAGCGGGGAGAGGGGAGAGGGAGAGGGAAGGAGGGAGAGACACTCCCGCAGCAGAGAAGCAGGCTCAGAGCCTGTCTCTCCTCATGTATTCATCATCTCCCAGCAGGAGGAAACGCTGCCACCAGCAGTAGCAATCTCTCTCCCCCACCCTCCCTAAAAAAAAAAAAAAAAAAAAAAAAAAAGCAGAAGGGAAAATCC